TCAGGAGGTTGAACCCCAACGGTCTGCCCAGAGTGAAAGAGAGAAGCAGCGAGCGATAGAGAGAGTTGGGCGCTGCGCACCAAGGTCCACAACAGCAAGCAGGGCATACACAACACGGCCCGAGGCAGTACCCAGCACGTACTACGGCAAACAACATGAACGCGTCGGCGCAAAGCTCAGGAAAATATGGCGCGATGCGGTTGAAACCGACAAAGGCAAAGTGAGGTACCCAAAGTTGCCTGCGAACTGGGCCGTCAGGCCGTTTGCCCCGAGGTACTGGGCCGAGGGCCTGGATCTGCGCGCATGGCACTTGATTCCGACTCCGCGGCGTGTCTATCTGAGCCTTCGGTACAGACCGAGACTCTGGATCTCGGCGCAGTCCTAAGATCTTAAGACCACATCTATCCAGGCAGACGGTCTGGTAGGATCAGACGGCCCAGATGGCAGATTTGCTACATAGTTAGGTTGATCTGGGCCGTGGGCCAGTAGGACCGACGACGGCCCGGATTTCAGATTTGTCACGTTAGCAATTTTAATAGTGTAGGGAAACATTCAGAAACACGGACAGCCTTTTGAAAGAGGGAGTAGCAAGGAATTGTTTCAAAAAGAAGCATAATTCTGTTATGATTCTGGTTGTCTGTTGTCTGAAGACCAACACTCACTCATATAGACTTCCAGGTATGCCCATACATACACAGAAGGAAGGGGAGAGGATAGGAGTATCACACCGCACAGGGAGAGAGAAACACAGCGGAAGACTTGACCATGCGATGTGACAGGGTACACTGAAAGTGCAATTCACTCCACTCAATCCTCACAACCAGTCGTAAAGGAAAGCCGAGTAGATCACATCCAGGAAACAATGAAACGATCATAGTCCAAACCCAGTATCACACTGTTTATTGAACTCAGAGTCTTGAATTGTCAGAATAACTTCAGACCTACAGTGTGCTGCTCAGAAATGAGCATCGCTTCACTCCCCAACCCTGAGTAACCACTCGTGACAACCCTGAGCCCCGAAACATCAAGCGCCACCCAATTACTGGCCCCAGATAGCAGCGCCACCCTGAAACAGGCCCCTGAGGCCAAGCGCTACTCAGAGGATGAAGAAGAAGACCAGCGCCACAGTATCTGATGATGACGAAGTGTCGGAAAACTTCCCGGGTGGAAGTCTTCAGCAGCGCCACCAAATCCCGACAAGATGACCTCTAAGGAGGAAACTGCAGCTATGGCTGCAGCGCCACAACCCTGTGACCCCACTCCGGAGGAGGGTCCAGAAGGGCACCAACTTCTCTCGCCTCCAGCAGACCTCGAATAACCCAGACCTCTGACAGCCCCGTGTGCTGACAGAGTACAGCGCAGGTCCCAGCTATGGCCGGCGCTCCGAAGGTCTCGCTATGTCTGTCTCCCACGACGCTGAGCCGTCACCACCTCCGGTTCACGCGTAGCGCAGCAGCGATGTCCTTGGTACCAACTGCCAAAAGCCCTGAACCGATGTGCCCATCCTATCTATAGTCTACTCTAGCCCACCGGACTGACTGACCAACCGGTACCATTTCTGTTTCGGCCTCTAGGGCCTCTCCCAACCCGTCTATAGGCTATAGGACCATCTATCAGCTTAGGCCCTTACGGCCTCTGTAGTAGAGGTAGCCGGGGACTGCTATTCACAGTTAGGATAGCTGTAGGTAATTCTGTTAGTACGGGCCTATATTTTCCCAAATTTACAAATATGTCCCTCACAAATTTCCTTATAGGCAGGTCTCTCGGTTAGCCCTCGGCCAAACAAAATTACGAATCTAACCTAAGACGCGACCCAACCGAGGCAAGCCCCAAGCTTCGCCCTCGGCCCAATGTACAGTCCACTGAGAATCTGCACGCTTCATTACAATTCTTAGTGACGAGTTTAAACTTTATAGTAACGCAGGCAACATCTTATCCCCATCATCTCTTCCATATGTCACCTTTCCTACAACTATTGTGAAGCACTTCGTGCACCCCAGGAATTGTTAAAAAAACAAGCATAATTCTTAGTGATGAGTTTAAAGTAATGCAGGCGACATCTTATCCCCATCATCTCTTCCATATGTCACCTTCCCCTCCCCCGCCCTCCCCCCCCCCGAATCTGCAGGCTTCATTACAATTCTTAGTATTGTGAAGCACTTCCTGCACCCCAGCAATTGTTAAAAAAAGAAGCATAATTCTTAGTGATGAGTAACACACGACATCTTATCCCCATCATCTCTTCCATATGTCACCTTTCCTACTACTATTGTGTAGAATGTCCAACCACCAGGCCCTTCTCTTCCCTGTACCCCTGCAATGTTCTCGCCCCTCTGCGAGGCCCACATAGATCACCATAGGTATAGTTCAAAGAATCATGTGCATAGTTCACATAGCAAAGAGAACTGAGATCATGAGATTATTGCCATTCCTGTACTGAGCACATTTTTGGCGAAAGAAGAAAGACCAGAGGGGGAGGGGGGGTGGATAGAGCTGTAATTCGCTTTGATGTGTTCACATCCTGTGTAAGTCTGCTTGTATGCTGAACTTGCCATGCATGTGCACACGTGTGTGTGTGTGTGTGTGTGTGTGTGTGTGTGTGTGAGAGAGAGAGAGAGAGAGAGAGAGACAGAGAGAGACACAGAGAGAGAGAGAGA